TAAACCGAAGATGCAGGTCACCAATGATGCAAGTGACCACTAGCGCCATCTGCCGTTCGTGGCCAGGACATACTGCTGCTCTGTTACCTCGGAGTGGGTAGAGCTGCTTCTGCACAATTCCATGTAATCCTCATAACTAGTCAGAGATTCTGTGAGGATTTTATTCTCCACGTTATAGATGAGGAAACTGAGGCACAGACACTAAGTGTCCCCAGGACATTCAGCCAATAGGTGGCAGAGCTGGCTTCAACCTGGGTTGTTTTAAGTTGTTCTTTTCACAAAAACTGACACAGCACAATGTTGGAGCTTGGCGGCACTGGATCTCTTACTTAACACGTGTATGAGGGAGGGGAGGAACGCGGCTCTAGACAGCTCTCTGAAGTACAGCTGTGTGTTGCCCACGGGGGCCAAAAAAAAGGGGGGGGGCAAAAAAGCCTGGGAAGGGGCAGGAGGGAGGGGCGCTAGCCTTCATCCACCGACCTGCTCAGGGCATCCCCAGTGGATCTCCCGTCCAGGGAAAGTACTCTGCTGGGCACGTCATGAGTAGGATCCCGCCCTCCAATGTCTTTCTAGGAAGCAAATCCGATCATGCTTGCCACCTGCTTTAAACCCTTCACTGCTTTCACCACACTCCCCAACCCCCAGGCCTTGGACCAGTCCATGGCCTGTTGGGAACCAGGCCGCACAGCAGGAGGTGAGCAGCGGGCAAGGGAATGAAGCTTCGGCTATATTTACAGCCGCTCCCCATCACTTGTCATGCCCTCCCCCCCCAACCCCCACCTCAGTCCCTGGAAAAATTGTCTTCCATGAAACTGGTCCTTGATGCCAAAAAGGTTGGGGATCGCTGCTCTAGTCCCCACCCTGGCCACCCCGTCTCCATGTCATACATATTCCAGGGCCTGGCTGACAAGGCTTTCTTGATCTGTCCCTGCTGACCTCATCAGCATCAGATTTCTCCTTCCCTCGACTTTGACCCCATTCTCTAGCCCAAAGACTAGTCTAGCAAAGACTAAAGAGTGGGCTCAGGAAGGGCTCAAGATGGGAAGGGCTCAAGATGGGAAGGGCTTTGGGTGCTCACCTGTGGTATTTCTGTGACTGAGGAGTTCTGAGCTGAAGGATGACGACATACAACAGTGCTTAGGGAATGTCCCCCAGGCATGGGGTAGAGAGTATCTGGAGGGGACCAACTGGCATCCAGCTGCAGTGCTCAGGTGCGAGATGTGGCCTGAACTGTAGCAGTCTCGGTGGGGAGGAGGGGGCTGGGTGGGAAGGGCACTGCGTCACTGGGGTGGGGGACAGAAAACAGGCTTGTTTGGGAAGATGGCGAGTTGCGGTGGAAACGTGTCAAGTTTGAGGTGCTCAAGAGCCTTCCGCTTGGGGGAGCTGTTTAATCAGGCATTACAGCTGAGGCTGATGCAGGAAAGGCCTTGGAGACTGCTGTGTCTCTCTCAGACACCTCTGCTCAGACACCCCCTGCACACAAGGGTGATGGAGGCCAGCAGCCGCCAGGGCAGTCGGGAGGTGTCCCCTTGCTCTTCCCCCGCTCGCACCCTAAATGCCCCCTCCCAGCCGGATTCCTGTGACTGGAAAGACACGCTCCTGCGAAGCAGCCCTGAGGGACCTCCCCATTGTCAGTTCACCCAGCTCAGTCACTACTGAACACTCACTTTTTTTCCAGAATCTTTCTTTTCCAGCAGAAGTTTTATGAACTAACAGTTCTTCCTGTTTGGTGTAAGAACCTCCAGGCTGTCCCCAGGAACTCGTGAGCCATTGTGTCTGTGTGCTCACATCTCATTGCCCTTCCCACAAAAGTGGTCAGCAGTCCACGTATAAAAGTACAAAAGGTATAAAAGCTGCAGCGTAGAGCACAGCACGGTTGCAAACACATAGGGACAGGGCCACCTCCTGGACATCTGTCCCACAGCTCTGCTGCGCTCCTGCCAGCACCCTGTGCAAGACACTCTGCCAGCCCCAACCGGGCTCTGCAGGTGGCTGTGTGCCAGCTCCCCACTGAAGCAAGGCTCGGGGCCCCCACACGTGCCTCTCTGGGCTGTCAGCCACGAAGAAATTCATCTCCAGCCATCAGTGTTGGGAGCAGCCAGGCGAGAGTCATTCAGCAGCTGGTCCTGGCTCAGCATGGTCTGAAAGGACACAGCCGAAGGGGCAGTTTAACAGGGTTGCGGCAGCTACGTGGGAAGCAGAGGGGCACTGAGTGTGGTCTACGGCTGAGGCCGGTGCCCTGTAAGTTTATGTTGTGTCAGGGACCCCCAGTACTGGGTCAGAATAAACACTACTATTAAGATAAAAATAAATCGCTTCTCTTGGAGGTAAAGTTGCTATGTCAAAGCCACCAAAGGTCTAGTAGAGATCAGAAGGGCAAGGTTGGACAGATCCCTTTCAGTGTTCGAGCCAAGAAATAAAAAAGTTGAACAAAAGTGATCCTGCTTGGATTCAGGTAGACTCTCCTGTCTTTTTCCTCGACACAGGGAGACTCTCCCATTCTTTTCCTTTCTTCTAATCGTGCCTCAGTAGATCAGTACAGTGACTGGGCCTCAACGTGGACAGACACTACAGCCCAAGGGCTCAGTGACGTGATGCTTGGGAACTAAAGGGCCCTGGGAGTTACAGGCCTCAAAACCAAATCTGTGCTCTGTGGCTAGCTCTTGTCTTTTACTACCAGCTCTCGTCTGCCTAAACGCCTGGCAAGGAGGATATGATTAGCCGTGTTTACAGAAAACAAAGCCGAGGCTCAGAGAGAAAGACACACCCAAGGTCCCAGAGCTGGCAAAGGCAGAGCAGGTACTTGAGCCTCCTCTTCTTTCCCGAGACCAAGCTGCATCCCCATGATACGGTCTGTCCCCTTGGGCATGCCAGGATGTGCTCGCATGCCTGTGGTATCCACCAAGTCAGAGGCGTGATGGGAAATGCATGTGTCTCTTGGGCAGAGAGAGGGCAGAACCGTGTCCACTAGGCCAGAGATGTGGCCTGGGCTTTGGGCTGACTAGACAGGTGACCTGGAGCTGCTGAGCACCTCGGTCTCCTCGCCACCTCTGAGACGGGGGAGGGGACGTGAGACCAGCATGCTTTAGCTGACTCCAGCTAAAGGCCCCTGAGCCTTCCTGATGCCCTGAGGGTCTCAAGGCCTAGCAACAGGCCAACAGAGAAGGCCCCTGGGATGTTTTCTGCCTCAGGGCTCTGACCCCAGCACCCAGCACCATTCTTTGCTCTCCCCCTCAGGCCTTGTGCCCCACCACACCAAACTCACCCGGCCTCTCCAACACCAGCCCTACTGTGGGGGGAGGGGGTCAGAGTCCTACCGTAAGGCGGTGGATGTCTTGGGAGAGGAGCCCTATCTGCGTCACGGTGCCTTCTGAAGGTGCCATCTGTAAAATGGGCAGCAGCCTGGTCAGCACACACGGTGCAGCTTGTGACTTGCAGAGATGGCATGCAAGTCCTGTCCTGCTTGGGCCTGGCTCCTCCCGAGCACACTGGACAGACGGGCAAGGAGTGGGCCAGGCCCTGAGGAGTGACGGTGGGTGGAGCACATGCTGCTTCTGTTCCTGGGAAAAGGCGTCACTGTCCCACACACCACATGCACATCTCTCCTGGGGTCCCACCCAGCACCAGCACTCAGGGTGCACAGAGCCAGGGCCTGTCAGAAGTAGCCATTCTGCATTTGCTCAGTGTTCTAGCTATTTCCAGGAGCAGAGAGCAGCAGGAATGATGGCCTTCAGGATGCTGAACAGACTGACAATTTCCAGGAACCCACAGGAGCCCAGACACAAATGCCCTGGTACAAGTGGGCATCTTCAGGAAGCTGCTGATGGAGCTTCCTCACTGCCTAGGAGCCTGCCTCCCCCTCCCCAGGTAATGCTGGCCTGCTGCTTCTTCCCTAAACCTGTTCAGACACGGCAGATTTGGAATTATCCTCTGTAAATATGGAGGGCATCAAGTGTAAACCCTGGTTTTACAGGTGGGAAAATTGAGGTCCACAAAGGGAACGGGACTTGCTTGAGGCTGCACAGAGAATTAGTGGCAAAACAATTCCATGCAGATTTGCAAACAGGTGCATGCAGAGATTCTCTCACCAGGACATGATAAAAAGTAAGGGACAAAGCCTGCCCTGACCGGCTCTCTACAGCTGCACAGGCCAGGCATCTGCCTGAATGATCAGTGGCCCTGGAGCTGGGATCAAACACCAGCATTGCCAGCTGCAAGCTGTGCCCACATCTCTCACCTCAGAGGAGGTGGCCTGAGGCAGCCAGTAGTTTAAGAAGCAAATCTTACACTGCCTCCATTGCCTTACACAGAATCACACAGCCACGTTGGGGACACTGGGCCCTGCCCTGGTCATCAGATAGTTATGATATGGCTGTTATTCATCTGCAGATGAGGCCCAGGGGACCCAGTGGAGCCAAAAGCTGCCCTGGGGTGAACTTATGAGCTGGAGGCCAGACTGGCAAAGCACATCTCTCCCTCGGTCCCCGGCCAGACAGGGCCCATCTGGAGGACCCATTATCAGCGAGTCAGCCTCTAAATCAAGAGGAGTGATCTGTTCCAGCTCTGCCAGCACAGACAGACCAACCCCCACCCACAGTCTCGAGCCCAGCTAAGCCAGTGACGGAGAAGCTGATAAACACATGAAAGAGCAGAGTCTTTCCAGCAAGGCTGCCCTTCTCATCTCCCCACCTCCCCCTGCACTAGGTGGCTCACGCTGCTGAAACAGAAACCAACTTTGGGGGTCTGCACGACAGATGTGACCTACAGTCAGGATGTGTGTGACAGAGGTGGAGCCTGTAGCAGCAAGGCCACAGGTCTCCTCTGAAGGATATGGGGGTGGGGTCCCTCCTTGTTCCGTCCCCTGAGTGAATCCTGAGTGTGCACCCACCCGAGGCCACCTCAGTGCCATTGGCTCTTAAGCTACACAATGAGTAGGACGCGATCTCCAGCTATGTCCAGCTCTCTTCCTCCAACAAGATTAAGTATATGTTGCACTGTTGGCTTTGTACATAAATACCGTTTTTATTACCAGAAAGCAGCAGCCACCTCTGTAGTAAGGTACGACACAATTCCACCGTCACTGTGACACAAGTCCCAGCTGCCTGCTCCTACTGATCTCAGCTAAGATTGTGGCCCACAGGCCTAAGGCACTTGAGCGTTTCCCTCATCTGAAGCACAGGGAGATGTCCGAGAGCTGAGCCTCTTGGCAGTGACCAGGTTCTCTGGACCTGTGTCCAAGTTCATGTGTTTCCACTGGTGCTGAAGATGGACGTCAAGAATACTAAAAATGTAAAAGTGTCTTTAATTGTCTTTCCTCCTGAGCCCACCTTTGGCAATAGTCCCCAAAGCCTGGCCCCTTGGCAGAGGTGTAGCTCCATTTCCTAGCCACCATCAGGGTTTGAAGAGAGACTAGCCCAGGGGTCCACAATTGCTGGAATGTTCTCTGTGAGTCATGCACACGTGCAAGGGATGAGGTGCAGTTATACGGTGACACACATTGTTACTGTGAGTGCTCAGGGTGCACAGAGAGGGCAGGTGACAAGGGCGTCAGCTAATCTGTCCCACCTGGTCCAGCCCATCCAGTTCAGGGGCATCAAGGGGGCTGAGGCCCCGGTAACCACTGTAGACCTTGTGACTGTCGCTGATGCCGTCGTTGGGCTCCATTGGGCAAATGTAGTCCGTCGATTCATCAAATTTCTTTTTTCTTAGGTTTCCAAAATGTGAAAATCCTAGTTTCCTTGGCTAAAACATAGCAAATGCAAGATTATGAGAAGATTATAAAGCCAATGTACAGATATGACTGACAATATACTTCAGAGCAGGTTCATGAGGAAAGGAATAAGGCTAACTACTTCTAGAAAAACTCTGAACAAAACAGAGCTGTAAGCAATTTCTATGTGGGAGAAGAGGCCAACAGATAAGTAAGCTGCCCCTCCAAGCCTCTGGGCCTGAAACTCACGCCTGGCTGTGCCCCGCCAGTGACTTTCTGGCTTCCACAGATGGACTGGGAGCTCCTACAGAACGCCACAGTCTGCACCTGAGGCCGAGCCTGGAGAACTCGCTGCGCCACAGCTGCTGGCACCACGTGGAGAGTACCCCCTCAGCACCCAGCGCCCTCAAAAGGCACACTGGACAAGCTGCACCCAGCACCGTCTCTGCTCGACTCCCCGAGACACACTTCCCATCCTGCTCCCTTGGGGAAGGGGTCTGCTTGTGAGTTCTAGCTAGGCCTGAGGCAGCCACATGCTGCTAGGACAGGCCCGCCTGGCCTCCAGAGACTGTCTGGACCTGTGGCCTGGCAAGGATGCGGGCTGAGGAAGTGTGGCTCGGGCAGGTCTAATGGGCTTTGTGGGATTCAGGGAGCCCCAGTGAGCAGTGCTGGTGCTTGGATGACCTCAGGACCTCTGGACAGCTGCGTGCTGGCCACCTCACAGAACAAGACAAACGGGACCTGCTGCCAACAGGAGCACTTCCTGTGTTGTCAGGGCAGCTTTAGCCAAGACCCCGTGGTGCTGTGGCATGCAGACGGGCCTGAGTGAAGGGAGCCCAGCTCGGAGCTCCTCTGCCCTGCAAGCTGAGTCACGGCAACACTTGTGTAGAGGAGGAGCTCCCAGCTGCCTGACAGTAGGTGCTTCCTGCACCGATTGTGTAAGGAATACATAGTTCTGTTCCTATCTCTTCTGTGTAAAGAAGCCTGCACTCTCTTCCTTGGACTCAAGATGGGCAGGGACTGGCCTAGCAAAGACTCGCAGGCAACGGGACTGCAGTAAAAGCCGAAGAGCCTCTGTGCCCAGGCTACCCACAATGCTTTGGCTGCAGGCATTGAGCCAGCTCTTGCAGAAGAAAGGGCCCCACGGCCCAACCAGGAAGGGTCTGGCAACTCACCCGCACTTTGGCAGTGGTGGTCAGTGGCGTGTAAGCTGGCGAGGCCATTTTATCTCGCTTTTCCTGTTCCGCCTCAGGACCAATCAGGGCATTGAATTTGGTGGTCAGGTGGCGCCTGAGGAGTGTCTTTTGTGGTGGAATATTGAGAAGCATAGCCAGGGTGTCCCCAGTGAAGCGTGGCTCCAGGATCTAAAAAGAAACCACAGACAAATCTAGCCAAGAGTGGCCACAAACGGCTCCAGGTGGGGGATACTGAGAAATCGGCCACTGGGCCTGGAGGAGCCCCAGGGCAGGAGCTGAAACTCATCCGCTTTCTCTGTGTCCCACTCCTCTCTCTGAGCAGACACTGGAGCATTTGTCCACTGGGCACCTCATCTGCACAGACCAGCAGAGAACCGGGACCTCTTTGATAAGGCTGTCTCTCAGAGTCTCCTCTGGACAACATCCAAGCCACCACCCCCTCCCTCATTTCCCCTGTGGCTTTGCCACTTGACAGATCTGAGTAGTGACAGAGATCACATCATACTAAGCAAGAAGTCACTTTCTAATGGCCTCCCCCTCACTTCCCCAGCCCCCATGTTCCTGTAGGAACAGGTGGAGCTGCTTTGGTAAGAGCTGGTCCTCACGCAATTCCATTGACCTGGAATCCTCTGGGTCTGTTGCTAAAGAAGTCCTTCCAGAAGCCACCTCGTTTCCATGAGGTACATTAATTCTCAACCACAAATCGCCAAAATACTTTCTTTGAGACTTCAAATTATGCAGGGGGTTCAGGTGAAGTACCTATTTTTTCACTAGAATTTATGTTTGGCCTTTCAGAAACAGTTTCTGAATACCCCAGTTTGTACCAGAGCAGGTGGGCTAGGCCGAAGAGCCACTCACAATGAGACCTCCGTGGACTCCACTCCCTCGAAGGTTGGGAGCATACTCTGCCAGGTCTACGGACCGCAACCACTCCATCACCCTGTGGTTGGACCACTGCACAACTTCTGAAGGAGAAACGTTACTCTGTGAGACGGAAGAGAAGAAATAAGTTAGGTTTACTAGGTCCCATCACTCTCCTCTGTAGAGTTAGCCCCTGTGGGTCTGGCATCTGGGGCAGGATTGAGAAGACCCTCAAGCTTAGTGACCCAGGCCAGCCAGACCATCTGCCTGAGAGCCTTCCCAGTTTCCAAGAAATGGAGCTCTCACCAAATCTAGCAGGATCTTCTACGCTAAGATAGCTGAATCCAGAATCCTGTCATTCCCTAATCTTCTGGTTAACTTTGGGATGAATAAATGAAGACATACAGTTATTCATTCCATGATTCAACAGAACTTTAAAGATGACTGTCAATTGTAACCTGAGTGTTTTATAGATAAAAGCTCTCTCTGGTGTGGCCAAAGGTTTTAGGGGAGTGCACATTAAGATACTTATACCCAAGTGCCCTTGCATGGCTTCATGGTCTTCAAAATGCCCAGCACTGTGCCTGACATACAAGGCATTCAAAACATGTTTGTTGAACAGGTAGAAAACAGGAGATGGAGAGCAAAGGTAAAAATGTTTTTAATTCCTCAGGAAGCCGAGTTAATCTTGCAGCAGGATTACACTCAGTTCCCAGAAACAGAGGCGACAAGATGTGACTGACGACCCTTCAGCTTCGGGGCCCACCATGAACACCAAGGTTCATGGAACATCATGCAGTATTTCACCGTGATTTCGGGTACTAGTATTTACTTACACTATTTCTTCTCTAGCAAGACCTGTTCACGGACCCCCTGTGTACCTGGGCCTGGAGGTCAGTTAATTTGGTATCTACAAGTAGGGAAACCTATTCTGAAATGTTTGGTTCCTTAAGGGCTCTCCCTCCCTTCTCCTCCTCTGTCTCTTCTCCTCTCCTCTGTCTACCGGACACACGTCTTTCCATTTTGTCTTTGCCTTCTCTCTCCTTGCACCATCTCATCGTCTCCTTGAATCACATGATGACTTTGAAAGACTCATTGCCACTGCCCTCTGGCCTATAGCATGTGTCTCCCCAAGGGAGAGTGGGAGCTTGGAAGTCTATGGCTGTTGTGAGACACAAAGTTCCGGTAACAGGGGTGTCTGGGCAACGTCAAGCTCGAGCAAAGGAAAGAATCCCAAGCACCGTGATCTGAAAGGCAGCCAGTTGTGATGACGACATTCCTGTTTTCTCACGCCCAAGGTTTCAGGTGTCCTGGCTCAGGGCTACCTGGAGAGACACTATCCTCCCCTCACCTCATCAGCCGGCCGCCTGTGCAGGCAGTGGGGGTTGAACTTGTTGACATGCAGCACGTGAATGGCACATTTGATGCTGAGATGATGTAGTTGGCTGGTCACTTTTAAGAAGAGTAGATCATTCTGGAAGTGGAAAGTTTTGGTTGATGAACCAGAGTTTCCAAAGTGACAGAAGACCTCTGATGTCCCTTCCCAGACCAAACACGGACCAATCTACCGCACCTCAGGAAGGTGCACATGGATACACCAACAGCTTCTCTTATCACAGTGGTTTGGACTCTGCTATTTGGGACCTTTTATGTGACAAACAATACCATTTCATGGCCTTAAGAATATGAGGGAAGAGGTAAAATCAAGTTTAAAATAACCACCATGGGTACATCTGAGCTGAGTGCTCATAGGGACAACTGAAATATTTAAAGGAAAAGTCCTCACCACAGTTAGGTATTGCAGCATTCGTCCATCAACTCTGGATTCATGAAACTGGTCTTTGTATTGGGGTAAGCCAATATCGTCAAGCCACCCTAAAAGTGCAGAAAAAACAGACGTGTCAAGATTCATGAGAGTGGGAGAATGTAGATGCAAAAAAAAAAAAAAAAAGGAGCAAATTATCTTTTGGAGGTTCCAGTTTCATTCCCCAAAGGATTTAGTAACCCTCTGCCTTGTCTCCTTTTATAAGGAGATAGCTGCCTTTGAGGCACACATTTAATAGGGAGATTCTTTCTACCCTTCGTTACTGCAAGAAACATACTTAATCCATATATGCCTGTTCTTACGTGTCACCCAAATGTGGTCTAGCAGTGCAGACTTCTCCTCTTGCTTGGTGTTGATGGCTTTCACTGCTAAAACCAGCTTCTTCCTGTGAAGAGGGTGCTTAATTCCTAGCTCCTGAAATTAAAAGATGAAGACTAGATGTGAAATTCTGGCAGGCGACTTGGCCCTCAGGACATGATGTCTGGGTGGAGATGCTCTGAGGGTGTGGCAATGGATCTCTGCACAGTGCCCTAGGATGTCCCACAGCTACAGAGGGGATCTCAGCCTCCTCTGTCCATCCTCCTGTATGTGTGGGAGGGGTAGGGGATCCTGTCCTCCCCATGCATTGGTCTGGGGAGAAACTGGAGCCTCCCCAAGCTCAGCCCTTACCTTTTCCATGTCCTGAGGAGTAGCTGTCAATAATGTGTGGCCGGAAGACACCCACTGCCTGGCAAAGATCACGTACTGAGCCAGGCCAAAGTCCTCCAGCCACGTACACACACGCTCGGTGCTCCACTGGGCAAAGGGGGCATTAGCGTCACTGGGAAGCAGGAAAACAGCATGTTTCTGTTAGTGGGAGAGCCTGAGGTTCTGATACTTCTTATAAAGAAGGAACTTTTTTCTTTTTTCTAGAGATGGGGTCTCACTATGTTGCCCAGGCTAAGCTTCAACTCCTGGGCTCAAGGGATCCTCACACCTCAGCCTCCAGAATAGCTGGGAGTATCAGCATGCACTACCACACCTGGCTCAGGGACTATCTTTTTAATAAGCAACCTTGATCGTGGGATTTAGTTGAAACAAATTCCACTACTACATATTCATGTGATGTAGACTCAGGAGTTTTCTTGATAGCACACAGTCTGAATTTCAAATCTCCAGCTACTTAGAGCATGGGGTAGTCGGTATGATCCTCCTGAGACCATGTGTACACATCACAGGTCCACATACACGCATGTACATGCCATAAGCCCAGAACGGTGGCCACATTAGGATGACAACCTACAAATGATTCATCTTTTCAATAAGATTCAACACTCTGATTTTTAGGAAAATGCTTAGAATATTAGGAAAAGAGGGTCAGCTAACACTAAAAGAAAAAAAAAAAAAAACCAAAACACCAAACCAAAAAAACCCTATCCCTCCAATCAACAGCTAATACCTTATTTATTAATGAAACACTAGGGGTATTCACATTCAAGTCAATAAAAACACAGTATGTTTTTATCAGGACTAATAACACTGGTCTGAGAGTTGTAGCCAGCATAAGGAGAGATTAAATAAGAACAAGAATATAGCTATTAGAAAGGTAGAAATAAAAGCAAGCCATTTTTTTTTCAGATGGTAGGACTGCCCACCTAGAAAACCCAAGAGAGCTCAGTTAGGTGGCTACTTATAAAATCCACACACATATATACATATGTAATCTGTATGTTACATAAAAAAATCAACAATTTTCTACATACCATCAATGTATACATACTAATGCTTTTGTTAAAACAATTAAAAAAATCCCACTCACAGCAACTAAAATTATAAAAGGTATAGGAATTGCTCTAACAGGGGACACGTGGACCCTGTGTGACTACGTGTGGGGACTGAGGGGAGGGGAAGGTGGTGACTACAACACTCTACAGAGCAAGATAAAAAAAAAGACATGAATAATAAATGAAGAGCTAGATCATGTTCCCAGACAGGATGACTGGGTTTTATAAAGCTATCAATTCTTAAGGACATCAATTTTTCATTTAAAGTGTGAATATAATGGCACATTAAAAATCCCAATAGAGTCTTTAGGGAAGGGAGATTTGACTGAGCAACTTTATATTCATTTTTAAAAATAAATGAGGACTAATAGAATGTAGAAGACTAGATAGTCATAAATATTCCTTCTAGGAAAGTACCCCTAAACACACTGGATTTAAAAAAAATTTTTTTTTGCATGCCTGGTAGAGCTTAAAGTGAGGGAATTCCTTAATGGGCCAGAATGACAAGGAAATGCTATTCTAGAACAAATGCTAGATATGATGTGTGCCTTGGGGTAGGTACTGATCACTCATAGTCTGGGTTTTAATGGGTCCTGAATAGGTACAGATCCAGGTTTTAGGAGGCCTGGAACTTACAAAATTTGGGATGCTCCTTTAAGAAAATTAAAAAATTTGAATATAAAATTAGAAACTGAGTATTTATTTAGAATGAGAAAACAAATTACAAGAAATGAAAAATTTAGCCAAAATGAAAAACATCACAAAATCCACAAAATTTAATATTTTTGTTAATTAACGTCTCGATATACCTCTGCAGTACTTTACCCTCATATTTTGGGTACATATTTCTTTGATTGCTTCTTCATATGGCCACAGCTCTGTAATATTTGAGTCAGTCTTCTGGCATGACTGATCAATATTTTTTATGATAATAGTTAAAAAAAAGTTTCAGCTTCACAATTTATAATTGGTATTGTCATGTGCATTCTTAGAATCCTTTAATTTAAATTTAGAAAAACCTATCAAGTGTCTTTTATACGTGAGTGGTGAAACCACCGAGCATTCAAGTTTTTAACGCTGTGGCTAATCTCAAACTTAATCTTAAACAAATGAATTGACTATTCATTAACTAGTGTGTTATTTATGTCCTTGTGATGGTAGCATGAGTTTTACATTATGTTTGTTGATGTCAGTATATCACGTAAGATCAGCCAGAAATTTCACTATTTTTCCAATGTGTTTTGTATGATTCACTTTACATGAACAACAATCTAGGACCCTAGTCACTACTTCTGTCTGAAATTTATCTCCTGCTCTTAGCAAATTGCTACTTTTTGTATGATCTGGAGGTTTTTTTGTTTATAATTTGTTTCTTAATGTGAGAATAATTTCTCTCAATTTCAATGCTCATTTTATCACTTTTGTTTTACTATTATTTTATTAGGTTTTTCTTTCTTTCATTTCCTTGCTTCCGGAAATTGGGAAAAAACAAATAGTCTCGTACATGAGAGGGACATTTTCAGTTCTAAAAGGGAAATAAGTGTTTCCCTTTCAAATTACAATCTCGAGATTGTAATTTGAAAGCCTCTGTCCTGTACCCCTTTTCAAAACAACCTGGAGCTCTGGTCCTCATCTTCAGCAGTCTCCCCATTCCTTGTTTTGTGGCTTCTCTCCTCCCTCCCAACTCGTGCTGTCCCACAGCATCAGTCCCAGCTCGCACCTGACTCAGCCTCTCTTAGTGCCAGGGTCTCCCCTCAGCCAGGGCCATGGCGAACACGCTAAGAAATAATTTACAGATGACAGATGGTACCTTTCACATACTGCCAAACCATTTGTTTTACTGACACATCCCAAAATATCTTTCCAAATTGCAGTTAAAATTATGTATCTGAGATTTATCAAATATGCCATTCCCACTGAGGGGGACTACACATGGCCTATTTATAACTGTATACACTTCACTAGTGAGTACGCAGTGCTGGGCAAACTGGCCCAATGGAAAGCAGAAGTAATCCTGGAAGCCATTAGTACACTAGGACAACTAGTTAACTAAGCCTAACTAAACTAAATATGAAGTGACTGCAAACCATACACAGAGTCCATTAAACCCAAACTGCATGGAACCCAAATCAACTTGCCCTAGCCAGTCCCTGAAAATCCCCACAGCTACTGCAACATCATCTGATATAAGGAAAAGTGTAGACCAAGGGAAAGTTGGAGTAAAGAGTTAGCAGTCTTAAAACTTATTGTGTTTAAAATACCTTAATTATGCAAAATTTCCAAAACAGTCGGCCCCTCAGCACACTGACTGGATCCCAAATAAGGGCCTTCGAATCTTAAGCTTTCTTACATTTGCAATAAATCTGTCTCTGACCATGAATGTGGGGAAAAGGTAATAAAATGGGGCCCTAGACAGGGAAGCAGTCTGATTGGAGACCCCTTATAAAGCTGGAGTTCCAAAGAGTAATCCACTTAGTGTATCTGTATTGGCTCAGAAAATCCTCCACAAAGATGGAACCCAGCTATGGCTCTAGAATCTGCTTGCCTTAAACATTACACTTTACTGCTGCCTTTTCCCTCAAAAACAAAACAACAACAATAAACTCACATACTAAAATAAATCCCCAAATACATTATTCAAACACGGTTTTAAAAAGCCATGGAAAAAATTTAAAATAAAGAAATCACAAAGGAAAAGTTGATGAACCTCATACATAAACACAAAAATTCCGTATATCAAAATATCATAAACAAAAGTGAAATTCTGCCACAAACTTAAAAATACATTTTCACAATTATTAGACATGGCTTAATGTCTTAATGTAGAGAGAACTGGTAGAAATCTATAAGAAAGACATTACTAATTAAATAAAAATGGGCAAAAAATTGCAGATAATTCACAAAAGAATTAAAATGAAAACCACAAAAACTAAATTACCAATAAAAGTATAATTTTTTGGAAGTCTATAAAAGTAGAGAAATTTAAAAAAAGAAAAATTTAAATACTTAATGCTGACAAGGATGTGGTTGTATAATAGGTACTCTCTGTACAGCAGTACTGATTGGAATACAAATCAGTGAAACCTTTCCTGGAGGAAAAAAGACAATAAAATTTGTTCTTCCACAATCACAGAGAGAGCTCCTATAAAATGTTATTGAATATTATATTTAAAAAAACCAGTTGTTTCATTGGGAAAAAAGGAATTGGGGCTGGAGGCTTTCAGTAACAAAGTACTTTTCCTACAAGAATATTAGTGACAATAATTTTTTTTTAAGGCTATACCTAATTATCTATAAACTATTAACACCAGAGTACATTAACATATAATTATATCAAATTTCTGCTTAAGAGTAATAAAGGTTTTTCTTTTCCACCAGAAAATCCATTACCACAAGCACTATTATGCTAAACATAACCATCTCATCAGGATCTCTTCATTTCTATTCTCTTTATCATCCACTGTTATGGTTAACAAAGCACAAAACATTCAAACAAAGCAGCCCTGTGGCCGAACTGCAGTTTTTTCCTTTGGCAAAGAAAGTTTCTGACACTGGTTATCCCATCCCCTAAAGTGACTGGGGGAATGCAAAGGGCTTCCTAACAATGCAGTCCTGGGTTAGGAGCAATGCCTAAGGGTCCTAGACCTTACGCCCTGATCCAGTGATTTCCCTTCTAGAATCAATCTTTAAAGAAAGAGCCAAAATTAGAACAAAGATGAATCATTCAAGCTTATGGTAACTTTATTTTTTCAGCTCAGAAAAAAGAAACAACAGTAATGTCTACATTAAGAAAATTGCTAAGTAAATTCAATTATCTAATTACAAAACATATACTAGGTAATCTTTCTTTGGCTTACTTTCTAATGGCTCTGAATTGGTTGCTAACTTCTCAGACCCTTTGATTCTCTGGCCTTTGAAAGCTAATGGTCTATAGGTCCTCCGGTTTCTTTTCAAGGCACCTGAAGTATAATACAGGTCTGGGCATACCCATCCGAGTGTAAGTGGATCTGGAAAGGTCCTGTGTCTCATACACCAGGAGGACCAGGCAAAGTGTAGAAACCTGAGGTTGGCAAGCCAGGGAAGGCAAATATCACATACACATGCGAAATAAGCTAAGATTCCCTTCCACAGCGGATGCAAGTCTGTGAACAACATGATGCGTTTAGGGAAATGCTCTTCTCCTTTAATTGAAATCTACACTGTATTATTTCTGAGAGCTGATATTCGAGTTGTGCCCTTCTTATTCAGTAATTACCTTTACTTTGCACCACTGTATGGCAGTCTCAAGGGATCTAAACTCAAGAGAGTAAAACCGCACTTTTCACCTTTTGGTTAGATTTAAAATGTCACCATCCACTCCTGGGGAAGGCCCCCAGAAGCACTGACCTTGGCCGAGCAACTCAGACCCTGGGAGATATTCTGCTGGAGACGACGTACTATAGAGACTGCTTCGCGGGGGAGACGATCTAGAAGGGGGTGTCCCCGGGACACAGAAGTAAAGACTCACCTGTGCTGGTTTGAGGGGAGACACTCTTTCTCAGAGCAGGGAAACCGGAGGAAAGAGGATAAAGCTAATAACTGGAGGGTGTCCACCAGGGACACCTCTGGAGACATTTAATGGTTTTTATGTGTTTTTTTATTAGGGTGCAATAAGAACAGCCATATGAAATTTCCCGTTTTGATTCTAGTGCCCTCCCTTAGGTTAATGCCCTTCAATAAAGTTTGGTAGAATGGGATTATGGCAGATGTGGCCGGCTCCACCGGCGCCCATCTGCAGGGTCTGTGTGGAAGGTGGGGGCTGACCCAGAAGCAGGTAAGAGACGATGCTCTCTTTCCCAAATATACTAGAGGATGTCGACCCTTGAATGGCAGGCAGCTGAGGCAGTAGCTCACGTAATCCTCGTAAGAACTTTAATAAAATACTTGTTTTTGACCTCCACCTTACAAATGAGGAAATACAGGCACAGAGAGGTTATATAACTTGGCTTGGAGCTCACAGCTAGAAAGCGGTAAAGCAGAGATTGCAACCCAGGTCTGGGATTCTAGAACCTGTGCTCTTAATGGCTGCACCAGGGCTTCTCAATCCAGTGTGCAAAGGCACTGCTGAGAACAGGTTATGCGTGTGCAAAGTTGTTGAGGCGCTCAGGGAGGTGGGCCCAGCCACCTCCTGCTGCAGGGAGCATCATGCCTTCACCTCGGCATACTTGTAAGCACAACCGATGTCTATGCATGTCAAACAGGCAAGTTGAGAAGCTCTGCACTAAGGAAGGGTCTCTGCCTTCCACCTCCAGAGGCTCTGGGACAACCAGCACCCCTCTCACTCCACCCTCACCAGGATTTCACAAGCTCTTTGTAGATGGACTGGTAAGGGGACCTTACCTTTTCTGTCCCTTGGAATCTCTGGTCCTAGACAGTCTTGGCCCCGCGGTGGCCCGGAGCCCACCTCGTCGAAACTCTGCCATCCCTGGCACATCAGTGTTGAAGTTTCCTGACTGAGTTCTTCGGATTCTGCATGGAGAGGAATCCATGGAGACTATCAGGGGACAGTCTGAAAGCCTGGAGCCAGCGCTCCTGCTCCTTTGCAAGGCCGTGCAGGCCAGCCCTGGGACTCTGGGCGGCACCGACTCCCAGTACCTCCTTGGAGATCCAGGATCACAACCTGAGACAGCTCCTCAGCCAGACTCGAGGCTCAATTCCGCTCCTGCCTCTGGGGTTTGGGCCACACCCCATGGGGGTCAAAGTGAAGCTGGATGAGTGTAAGCCGCAGGACACATGCTCAGAGGGTGTGGGATAGGTGGTTGTTTAGAATGAATGACACGTGAGGCAACTGGCTATATTTAATGGGTGCCTTTCACATTTCCCCTCCTCTCAGCCCTGAAAAGTAATTCAGATTTTGTTTGTTTGTTCTCTCTAAACACGACTGCCCTGCTTTTACTGCTGTTCCAACATCTAATGGACTGGGAGCTTATGCAGACTCTTCAACCAGTCAAGAAGAAAATTAATTCCAAGCAATATGATTATGATCATTACCACCAACTTACTTTCCCCAGAACTTCTTGATGCCTTTGGGACTCCGTTTACCATCTGGTGTCAGAGGAGACTGGGGACTTGATTCGGTGCCAGATGACGTGGATGAAAGGTCATTTGCCATGGCAGTGTCATCCCAACCACTTTCTGTGTCTCCTGAGGTTGGGAGAATGAGATGATGTGTGAATGAGAGTAACAGATGTGATCTCTGGGACCCTCTCCCCCAACCTGGGCCATCCCTCGGTGAGAGTCCAGAAGAATCTGCCCAGCTCTGCCTTCAGGGCAGAAATCCTCGGCAAGACCCAAGAGACTAGTAGGGACTCGGGCACACTTTGGGCTTTCTCTGAGAAATTAGTGAGCTCAACATTTCAAATCCAGGTGAATTAATGTCTTTAAATTCTAAGGATGTGGGATCCAAGTACTCGCAGATTATCTGGACAAGAAGCTCGCTCTCTTTTCTCGAAGGGAGATGCAGGAATGCAGGCAGGACGGGGAGGCATCAGGGCAGGGAAACAAAGGCATTCTCACTCCCCACCTCACCTGGAATGGGTACAGTACCTAATACGGGGGCACTGACACTCCGGCCACGATCTCCAGCCAACCAAGAAGCAGAGAAGCCACAGGAGGAAACAAGAGAGGCCAAAGTCCAGCCCAACAGAGTTATAGGGGAGCAAAGAAATAAACAAAAGGATGTCATCGAGCAAGAGAGAAAAACTCAAACAGAAAGAAAAATAATCCCATGTATTAATAGCAGGATGGGGTGAGTGGCTACAGACTGAGAGGAGGTCTCGAGCGAGGGGACCAAATGCTCCTGGTGCCACTTTCTGGCAGACTGGGTATGCACACTTAAGAGAAGGAGGGAGAGCAGCAGAGTCCAAATACACCAGGCCATGTCCCACGTGGGCACCGGGGCTCACTAGGCTCATGCTAGAATGATCCAAAGCTGCTCTGAGTCCAGCCTGAGTGTCACTAGGACACACTCACATAAGGGCTGATCTAGAGTTCCTGCAGCCGAGGGCAGAACTGGCCTTTATGAAGCCAACACATGGGCTGGCTCAGGGAACAGCTGGGGCTGAGGAGTCAGGGGTAGGGAGAGCTCTGCCAGGACCAGAACATTCCCTGCTGGGCCCCATTGACTATGCCACCACTGTTGGGGAAGGATGGCCTATTTTGAATAAAAAGCAGCAAAGGCCTCTGTGGTTTCAGGTCCTAATCACCAAAAGGATCCCTATAGACAGACATCCCTGCCCACTGGCCACTGACCCCATTTGCCTAAGGAAGTGCTCTCACCTGGAGAGCCCACACTATCCTCCTACTGGTTAGGGAGGCTGCAGAGAAGAAGGCAGAGACAGGAGAGGGAAGATCAAGACGAGAGAGGAAGGAAGAGTGAGAGATAGGATGGGGGAAGGGGGTGTCTGAGAAGGAGGGGAAGGGATGATGGGAAGGACAGGAAGGGATTCGTGAGAGGAGAAAGAGAAGAAGGGAGATGAGGCTGGGTAACTGCAGCTGGAAAGAAGTGGGGGGCATACGTAGCCTGGTTTGCTGGGACTCTGAAGTGCTGACCTTAGGAAACAGCTTGCCTAGGCCTAAAGGAATCTCTAGAAATGGGACCGCCCAGGGTACAACTTGTCCCAGCCACCTACGCCCACCATTCTCCAACTGTGGATTGCGGTGGTGGGTGCAGGGATCTGTGCAATCATTGGAAGTGCCAAGCATGCTGCTCAGAGGCCACCAGCCCAGGGTATGGACACTCACTCAGCCTCTGCAGGCTGCTCCCTGTGGTGTCAGGCAGGCAGGCGGTGGGAGATCTGGCAGCCTCTCCATTGGGCGTGGCTCCTGAAAGCTTCCCAGGTAATGTGGGGTATTTGTGCTCCACCAGGAAAGGGCCAGCCTATTGGAAGGGGAGAGAAGAGAGTTTAGTCTCAGACTCAAACCCAGTTAGGAAACCCCTGGATATAGGAACAATTCTCTATCCTCCGAGAGCCATTTTTCACTTAGGTTGACTCAAAGACCCCTCAAAGGTCATTTAGCCTAGACCAGGTAAGGGGATCAGAGATCCCGAGAAAGGAAGAAACTTTCCCAAGGCCACACAGTAACATAGGTACAGAATCTAGCCCAAATCCAGGGCTGATTGCAACTGCCTCTAACCCACAAGTGGGGGTGACTTGCAAAGGGGGCCTTTGCTATTCGGCCTATTGCTCAGAGGCTCAACGATGTAACAGCTGCGATTTACTCTTTGAGCTCTCTAAATATACAAGCTGAATTCTAATAAAAGCTACCCAATGCTTTAGCACATTCATTCATATCCGTGTATGTGTGTGTGTGTATGTATACTGTGTGTGTGTGTGTGTGTGTGTGTGTGTGTGTGTGTATGAAATAACAATCCTGCAAGAGAGAAGACTGAGGTCAGTTTGGTGTGGGCTTCTCCGTTTTCCCCAGACTTGCTTCCCTGTGGTCAGCAGAGAGGCAGTTTTGCTCATTAGGACCCTTACTCCGACCAGGCAAGGGCTTGACCAAGTACACAAACTATATGGACCTTGCCTGAGAGAATGCTACACTACAGCAGGGGGATTACTGCTTACATTTGGAAAAAACCTATATTGTGATAACAGTTACTTGAAAAACATCATGTTAAGGCAAAGCAAGAAGACACACGCACATTTGGGAGCGATGACAACAGGAAATGGACCAGAGGGCTACGCGCCAGCAGACTGCCCTTAGGAACTTGGGATCACAGGCTCTGTGTTGGGCCCCGGCCATGGAAAGGTCCCAAAGAAACAAGTTGATTAAAAGAGAAGAAGAATAGCACTTACTTGGTCAAGAAGCATACTATGGCCCCTAAATCTACAAACCTGAGGGAAACACAGTGAAACCCACTGTGAGAGTGAGAATAAAAGAAACGAGAAACTGAAGCAATGTCACTGAAAGAATCAACTGTGGATCACTTGATTGGACTCAGAAGAAATGGGACACAAAAGACAAAACAGATTTCAAACTGGCAAGTCAGAACAGCAACGGGAGACTGCCATGACTCAGCTTTTGAAGTTCCATTTAGCTAAAAGCCAAGTGTCTGGTACATTTCTGAATTCGGTTCGCTTACAAATGCATGTCCTAGAAATTGTTTGAAATTCAATTCATTCATTCAACACTGCATATAACCCTCTAGAAATAAGCTCAGAAAATAGAGAGATGGGAAGAGGAAAATAAACTCTTAAAGAATTCTGAAAGAAGTGGCCAGTGAAGTAGTGAAGTAGAAGTAATTAGAGATAAAGACCAAGAGATTTTCACATCTGTGATGGCCCATGAAGTAGAGATTAGACATGATCAAAAGTGATTAAGATTGGCCAGGCACAGTGGCTCAGGTCTGTAATCCTAGCACTCTGGCAGGCTGAGGCAGGAGGATCACTTGAACTCAGGAGTCCGAGACCAGCCTGAGCAAGAGTGAGACCCTGTCTCTTCTAAAAATAGAAAAATTAGCCAGGCATGGTGGCATATGCCTATAGTCCCAGCTCCCTGGGAGGCTGAGGCAGGAGGATTGCTTGAGTTCAGGAGTCTGAGGTTGCAGTAAGCTGTGATGATGCCACTGCACTCTAGCTGGGGTGACTGACAGAGTGAGACTCTATCTCAAAGAAAAAAAAAGGAGAAAGAAAAAAAGACCAACAGCTTCCAAATGCCAAATGCTAATTCATGCACTGGCTGCTTCATAATCACCTGGGTACTTGTAAAACAACATAAATTCCCACCTTCCCTCAGCTCCATAAATCAGCCCCTTTGGAAGTGCACCCCAGGAGTCTGTATTTTTAACAAGCATCTCAGATTATTCTGATGGAGTCACACCCAGGAACCACTGGCTGTGGGAAGACAGTGTTCAAAAAGTTTAGAGAACTAAAAGGAATGACTCCAAGCTCCACATTATACAGGAAATATGGCAGGGGGAAGGGCTCTCCAAAGCAGGTCTCTGGCTGCATCCTCACACATGCTCACCCAAAGCAGGGCAGACCCTCATGGGCCATTCAGGGAGCTCCCTGAGGAGCTGAGATGCAGAGAACACAGACCTAACCCAAGGATGGGATTCAAAAAGCGGCCCAGACTGGTAAAAAAGACAACAAAAGGAGCTGAGAGCCATGGAAAGGGCTCTCTGAGCTCTGCTGAGGCCAAGAATAAAAGCTGGGAAGGAAGGACTCACCGCTGGAGAAGGCAGTGCAGTGTCAAGACATGACACAGAGGAAACAGTGTGCTCAACGCCAGTTCTGTTTCTTCTGCCTCCAGCAAGTAACCCTGGCTGTGGGGGAAGGAAGCCCCAGGCAAGGGAGCAGTGCAGGCCGAATACCCAGCTGCTTCCCATCAGAACTGAGAGGCAGCACACCAGAGTGGAAAGGACCCAGGGTTTGAGTCAGACTGATTCAGGCAAAGCTCTTTCTCTTTCACCTCTTAGAACCTCTGTTTTATCATTTCCAAATGGGGAATGACAATTCCTGCCTCAGGTTTGCCATGAAATAACATAAGCTCAAGGCCCAGCACACAGTGGACAGCAGATAAACAGAAGCACAGGAATATCCCATGCCCAGGACCTAGAGGGACAGCAATCTAGAAGAACAGTCCCTGCATCAAGGCAGGCACAGGTCAGACTACCGGTAGAGTATCACACTCACGTCTGGTCCAGGGCACACCTTAAAGAATACATTGAGAAACTAGTGCTGATACTAAGGAGACTGAATAGGAGCTTTAAAGGCTTGTGATCCACCCTCACGTTCAGCGGAGAACAGAGCACTCCGAGAGGGGATGAGGGACTTAAATTCTAGAGCTGTCAGGAGTAGGGGAGATTGACTTTTTCCATGGGCTCCACAGGGAGAGCCAGGATCAGTGGATACACATTCTTGGGAAGCTCTGATACACAGAGCTAGAAAAGAATACAGGGGTATCTTACATTGTAATGAACCCCCAGTCACAGAAAGCAAGGGCCAGGCAGCAAGGTTGGAGGGTGCTGCTGAGAGACTATTGTACCTGTGGAACAGTCCTGGGGAGCACAGTGGGGTATGTGGGTGTGAGGAGAGGGGTGGCCAGGTGGAACTAATTGAGTCTGCAGAAGATTGTGATTATGGTCAAAGAAGAATCATCTTTTAATCTAGAACATTTCCTCTTTATAAACAGTCCCATGTCACTCGTATTTCTTGGTAATCAAGCCAGTGCCTTAAAGCCTGAGCCTGTGTGCTAGCTGTGCTTCCAAAGGAGCAGGTGATCACTTACAGATGTGCTTGAGAAACACCTGTGAATGATCTCCGTGAGGCTAAGGAGGGACCGGGACTGCTAAGTGAAAGATGCAACACAGCAGCCTCCACAGGAAGCCTTTCAACTTACCAAGGGACCACACAAGCCCTGGGCCAAGGGACTGTGTGTCCAGAGCACCTGGGCAGGGGAGCAGGCAGAAGACCTTTGCTGCACAGTTCAGATGGCCCAAGGAATGGCTGTCCAACGAAGCACCCACTGCTACTAATACGGAAGTGCAGAGAATCCCTTTACATAGATGCGGAGGTGCAGAAAGATCTTCCTCTTACTCATAGATGGATGGGCAGAGAAGCCCCATTCTAACACATCGACATGAAAATATATAACGACACTCTCAGGCAGAAGTCAGCAAGCAATGAGGCCCAACATCTCATACGGACATAGAGGCAGGACACGGAGGAGGGAAATGCCATTGGCCTTACATTTCCCATCTAATGTTATAAATGGTGGTTGGGTGTGGCTGAAATCATGCTAATTATACAAATCTTCAGTTCATCATGTGCTCAACATTTGTGTATCGACCTAGAAACTTAATCCTCTTCCACAACGGGCTTCCTTGGAGAAAATCAGTTCTAATGGGATTTTTATAGCATGACTTGTTCATTAAAGGGGGACTGAGTGTATTCCTGTGATATTTTAACCACAACCTATCAGCACAGAAACTGTAAGAGCTGCCACACGCTTGTGTGCTGAGACCATACATACCCCTTCCCAATGATTAAATCTAGATTGCTTTGTTAAGGATTAATTCTCTGAGCCTATAAAGTGGAGGTAATAATAATAAATCCTACCCCACAGATAATGGTGGTGAAAACACATTATATAGCTGGATGCACATAAAAATAAAATGGGGTAGGAAGTTCTGTCTTTCCTCTTGTCCTCTTGCCCCTTATGGCTAACATATTTTAAGGTTACAAAAGCTATGACTTGCTAAATTAAAACGCTAGCAAACTGCAACCACAAATAGGTAATAGGGGCATGAAGTTAATGTACCTTGGGTTCTGCAACCGGGGAGAGCTGGTTCCCGTTGACACACTGTGGAGCAGCAAGAGGATTTCAATTATGTGGAGAGAAAGAAACCTGTGTTATTCACAAACACAGGACCCCCTGCCTACTTCTACCTGAAAGGCTCATCCCCTTCCTTCCTCACTTCCATGTCAGGTAATTACCATCCATGGCAGGAAACACAGGTCCCTGTCCAACTCCGTGGACAGATGTCCTGAGCAGCTGCCGGCAATATGACCAGGGCAGTGAGAGCCCCATGACCGTGGGAGCAAAGCCACTGAATGAGGCCATGGTTCCTGCTGACTCCAGCCTTCATGGCTTCTCCACTGTCACACCAGGGAGCTGGCCCATCGCTGGAGACCCAGGCATGGTATGCAGCATGGGCTCATTGCGGGCTCTCATCAGGGCAGGATGCCTGTCTCTAAAGACTAAGCTCCAGAGCCTGTGACCCTCCCCTGCAGCACGGGGTCCACCCACACGATCAAGGGCCAGCCCATACAAGCAGCCACAAAGCCCTCCTCATATCTTCCGAGACTCTTACAACAGCTCCCCTCCAATAACCTAAATTATCCCTCATCTTACTGGGATCACCTCCTTTATCCACATTACTCCCTCATTCAAAATCTCTATGATGCCCCCAAGTGCCCTGGGGCTACAGTGCCGGTATTCAGGATCTTCTCTGGCTTGACCTGACTCATGGCTCTGAACTTACCGCCTCTTGCTCTGCACCATTTCCCAAAACCTTCCTGTGTCCACCAGACTTTGCCCAGCTCAACATCTTCTCTTAGCAACTCCGGGCAGCATTTCCTGACTTGTCTTTTTTCTAGGATGCCTTGGACCACACCTAACTGGTTTTCTCAAAATGTTCATGTAACTCCTGCCTCCCTAAAAATTTTACAAAGTAACTCAGTAATCTTTAAGGATAGATTGATGGGCTGACCTTATCCACAGATTGACTTCTCAAGTCTTCCAGACTACAGGAGAGTTTTTTCTGAGCTCTGGAAGAACACAAAACAAAGTGAACAAAGGAACAGTTACTGGAGAATGAGGTACGTAATATCACTCAGAGGACATTTCAAATGCTTAACCAGTAGTCTATCTTGGACTTAGGGTCACAGCTGAGGAAAAAGTCACCCTCTCATAACAGACACTGCATATAAAATGAGATGGGCCCACCTTCTGGATGGCCTGGTCTGACAAGGTGCTGTGAAGGCATGAGGGCATCACTTAAATTCAGAGGAAAAGTCCTTAGCATTGCTCAAAACGCTAGAATACACTCAATTCTGTTGTGCTGATGGGAGGTGACTATAGTGTGGTCATAAAAGATGACCAATATCTACAGAGTCAAAAGAGAGGAAAGGCACTGCCTCTGGGCTTGCCTATGAGTCTAAGAGTGAGCCAGGCAGAGTGAGAGTGGATGAGCACATCGGTCAGCTCCAAAGCACCCCCTTCCGGGATCCCTCCACCCTCTGCTCTGTCTCCACATGCCCTGCACAGTCTGCTCAGAGGAATTTTACTCCCTCTGGGGCTATTTTGCAGAGAAGGGCATGAAATGGGTAAGGAAGAGGCAATGCCACCAGTGCTCACAAGGGTAACCTTGTGCCCAGTCTCCTAGGCAGTCATATTTTCTCAGTTTACATGAATAAGTCAGCATCTTTATGCATGAGTCTCTTGTGACTCTGGGCAGTGTGAGTTCCTTGGTGTTGACATCCCCTGAGTGAACTCATAAACCAAATTTCTTACTCTGCAAAACTAAGGACTGGCCAATTGTCCTCTCTGACATTGCCATTTTTCTCTGGGGCTAAAGGCTCAGGGAAACAATGGCTGTCTGCAAAGTGGGCTCAGAAAGTGAAGGCTGGAGCCAAGGCACCACAGTGGGGAAGCTTCTGCCATGCTCGTGACCATCTTCCCCAGACACCTTAGCTGAAACACAGCTGCTCTTAGCAGTGAAGCCTCCAGAACCCTCTTACATGAGGCCCAATTTGAAAACATGTTCTAAAGTTCAGATGTAGGGAACTATACATCGGTTTGTTTCGGAGGGAACCAGACAGCCAAGTGACCTCAGAAGGAGCCCATTGTAAGTTCATGGTTGTGAAACACACCCAAAGCAATTAGACCAGCTGCCCTGTGAGGAGAAATGGCCCTCCCTAAAAAGCCTGGATTGTCAAAGGGCGAAATCTACCCTGAGAGCAGGAAAGAGGCTGGTGGAAACCACACACATCATGGGATGCCCTCAGCTCTCAGGAGCCACTGAAGGACACATGAGTTGCAGCCACCTCTCCTCTGAGGCTCTCACCCCTGGCCAGGTCTTTTCTCAGTGACAGTGATCCAGACCGTTGACCTGTGGGAAGTGAAGCCCCTCTGCAGCCAGGAGAGAGAGGCCTGGTCGTGACTGTCCTGACAACGGAGAGTGGGTGTGCCCAGGACGTGGTGGCTGTTCTCACCATGCATGGCCAGTCACCATCCACTTCAGGAGCCCCAAGGGAGGCCTGAGAGCACAGTGGCTCTGGGGAAACACTCAGGCCTCTTACCTGGTTTCTAGTGATTTCTGCGGCAATGGAGGTGGCCCCGCTGTGGGGGAGCTACATCTTGGAGGCATCTGCACCAGAAAGAGAAGAGTCACTGTAGGGGACAGTCACTGTTTGGGGACCACCCACCACCTTTTCCTCTTCTTTGGATGGTTCCTTTTAGGCAGTTACATTTCCACCCCTGGGTACAGCCATGGTGGATACATCAGTATGGACGCCTTGCTCTTTCAAGATGCCAAGGGGGTAGGTATATCCACGCATATGGGCCAACCTGCCTCTCCTCCCTGGGCCCAGATCTTAGGTGATGTTCACATCCCAGCAGTACAGTCCTGAGCTTTTGCTGGGTCCCGGGGCTTTTGCTGCTTCTGCTCTTTCTGAGCTTGGTTTTCACCTTTTCCTTTCACTCAGTGAGCCACTGCACACCCTTGCAAAACACTCCTTTTGGCTTAGGTTATCCAGACTCAGATTTTTTTGCTTGCAGTGAGAAAACCCTAATCAATATGGTCACTCAGCAAACATCAGCAACATCTACCACCTGCCAGGCCCTGTGCTGGGTCTAGGGCAAGCACTCCCACATCTCGGAGGCAGACAAGTAAACGAGGATAAAAGAACAATTCAACGTGTCCTTACGCCACCGATACCTATAACATAACATGTGAGTAGAGGGAGCGAGCCCCACCCTCTCCCTGGTGAGAAAGTTAGGAAGGCTTCAGAGGAAAGAACAGCTGAGCTCAATCTCAGGAAATGAGAATGAGCTCAGCAAGAAAGGCAAGAGCATCACAGGTGGAGAAGCAAAGGTGAGCTAATGGTGATGTGGGAAGACACAATCCTATGCCTTGAGTATTGCACTGACTGCAAAGACGGCCTCTCTTCTTTGCAGCCCAGCATCTTCTTGGTCTGCTGCAGGCAGAACCTGGCATTACAGTACAGTTATTAAAAGCCTGGGCTTAGTGGTCAGATAGGCCTCAGTTCGAGGCCAGGTTTTGCCATCTACTTGCAGTGTGACCTAGAGCAAATTGCTTATCTTCTCTGAATCTCAGCTTCATCACAGTAAAATAAGGATCCCAATGGGGTGTCATGAGGAGTCAATGAAGTGAGCCATGTACACCACTCATCACAGTGACCACAAAGAGGTGTCAATTACTGCTATTTTGTAATTGCCAGCAATCTAGGGTGCTTGTCCTGACTCGATAGGTGGGTCACTGCATGATACTTTTGCTCCTCTCTTAATAAAGGGTTGAGCTGGACAAACAAGATCCATTTCAGTTTGATCACCTGGAGTTTCATGAATCCTTTGGGCCTGAGGTTGAAGCCCCTCCTCCACCTGAGGTCTGTATCTATGAGCTTGTTTGCTTATTTGTATCCGGCCTAAGTCTGGAGAGATCCAGACAACAGGACAAGATTTTAAACAGACAAAAAAGAAAGAAGGAAAATCTGTGTGCTAGTTATAGGGACTGAGGGGCTAACTGTGAAGCAGGTAGGAATCGCTTCAGAAGTTGCTGTTATCCCTTTGAATGAGCAAGATACATTCGTTCATTCAGCAAATATTTGTTGAATTCTACTGGGTATCAGGCATTACTGCAGCCCCTGGACAAACAGTGGTAAATAAGACAAACACCACCTTTGGTCTGTGCTTACATTTCAGAAAAGAAAGACAGACATAAACAAGAAACCCAGTTAAAAAGAGAATTCCTATCCTTGAAAGTTCCAGGATCCACCATCCCAACCAGAACACAGGCCGAGCCTCAGTCCTAGGCCCCCATCCTCTCCCTTGGGCTTGAGGGCCGGTCCATTGATTTCATTATTCACCTGTCAAGATGTGTGCCCAACTACTGACTAACTGGATCCTTCCCCAAGCTCAGGGCATGCTCCAAGGACCTGCTAAAACCCTACATTATAGACAGAAACACAGTACCTCTTGTTTAAATAAGTCTTCGGGGCCTTTATTTGTAGTATTCCACTTCCTGAAACTTCCTTCCAGTTCTTCTTCATTGATTGAGAGTGTTCTCTCTGAAGGCCCTGGAATCATTAATGCAAAGGGGTGATCGCTACAGAGTGAATTGCTCAGAAACCTATACTTGTACCACAAAATCCTAATATTTTTCTCCTTCATTAAGAAAGACTAAGAAATATATCAAGAGACTATTAAGAAGGTGATTCAGAAGGTTCCTCAAGCCATCTGAGCAAGGGCTCTCATCAGGGTCACTTCAAGGTCAAAGCTCATTTGCAGAACAGAGGTAAGGCACCCCCTGCCTCCAACCTTCTGACTCCTCAGCCACAGGCAATCAGGCCCCAAGCGTAACTTGACCCAAGATCTCAAGGATTAGAGAAAAGAGGGTTGTGATGTGGTTGGGGGTGAGGAGAGCTGGCAGAGGCCCTGGGCAGCGATCAGTCAGCCACTTCCCAGGGGAGGCTAGGCTTCTTCCTAAGAGGCAGCAGCTCAGCTAGAATCAGGGGTTACTGAATACCCTTCAAAGCAGCCCTCTTTTGTAAAACAGTTGCTTCCTCAGGATCTGTGATGGGAGCCCAGGTGAATGGCATGAACAAAAAGGAGGCAGCCTGGCATATGCCCAACCCTGTCCACGAGAATACAGCCGCTGCCTGCATGTTGCATTCAGTCTGGGCAGCAGATGAGAAACACAGCAGCTCTCCCTGTCCTGTGACTTCCTGTGGCAACTCAGGCATCCAGCGACTCAAAGAAGGCTCCCAGAGGGCGCTCTGAGTCCGCTGGGGAGCTTTAGCTTCTCTAGCAGGTGGACAAGCCCGGATCCCCAGTGAGGGCACTGAGTTGATTTTTGATCCAGGTTTGACTCCACTTGCTGCCTCTAAGGGGTATCCTGGTAAGATGTGCAGGAGGCCCTCCCAGGGTAGGTGACCTGGATAGTTCCTGAAAGTTCTAAGCTGACTGCCATTTGATAAAATTTCTAGAAACCAACAGCTGCCAGTTTTCCACTATCCAGGAAAGTCTAAACAGCTCCGTTCTCCTGGGGGGATCTTCTCCAAAATGGAGGTAAAACATCTGGCAGAACTGCCCCTGGATTTAACACAGTTGATGGAGTATCTTCCAAAGAAAATGGTAAGATCACCCTTGTTCTTACCTTGAGTTGCCATCACAATCTCCTTCACTCTTCGGTACTGGTTTAACAACCCTGTAAGCTCCTCTATGCGACGGTCCTGGCACAGTGAGAGAGTAGTTTTAGATTAACGCCACAACTGGCCTCTCAGATGATTGCATTTTGGGGTCCAGGGTATGTGCAGGGCACAGTGAGAAGAAACCGCATGTGGAATATATGGAATACTCCAAAGGTAAAGCATATCCCGGCCCCATCCCATAGAGCTGGGATTTCAGGGGTCTGCCCCATAGACAACTCATGCAGGCACTCAACTCTACCTGAAGGCTGTGAGTCAACAGTAACTGAGATTCCCTTCACAGGGCTTAAACATTTTAAGCAGCATCAAACTCAGTGTCTTCCTACCCTCCAAAATTACTTAAGTACTTTGAGTCTATTTCCTCATCTGTAAAATGCAGGGTTCTGATCCTTAGAGATGATGTTTATATCAGCTAGGAGCTCTTTATTTATAGAGGTGGCTATTTATGATTATGCTGGAATTAGATATGAAGAATATGAAGAATATATGAAGAATATAAAGAATATGAAGAATATATGAAGAATATAAAGGCAGCAGGGTAAACTGAGGCATCATATGCTGCCCAGTGTCTCTGATGGTTCTATCATCGGGTTGTGCACATGGGAGATTGCTAGGAGTCTCGGCAGGAGCTATGATACTGGCAGTAATCACAGCGGTATGTTCCCCCACACCAGCAGGAACAGGCAATGCTCTCATCTGCCTTTAGGAGATATCATTTAGGCAAAGTTCCCAGGCATCAAGGCAAAAACAGGTGGCTGAGGCCAAGCGTCTAGGAGGCAGAAACCGTTCTCCTGACATATCCCTGTGACAATGGCATGATACACATGGCCCTGTCCAGAATATCAGAGACCAGTAGGGACCAAACAGAGCCAAGGGTGTTGGCAAGGAAAGGACAGGGCTGCCCAGCGACCAGCTTACCTTATCTTCATTGGCAACAAGCAAAGTTTCCATCCCCTTTTTCAGACATTGAATTTCTTGGTCTAAAACAATATAGGTGTAGAAATATTTATATAAATGCAAATACTTATTCCACATGCTAAGATGCTCCTCAAGTGCAAACTTGAAGATTTTTTATGTGAACACGGCTCCTTTATTTCTTTAAAGAGGCCAGGATGGTGTCTAGCATAGAGTCAGTCGCATTAAATATTTGGTAGACTACTAAATGAATGAACCTAGTATTTTGTCTTCTCATTACAGACTTTTTTTTTTTTTTTTAAGACAGAGTCTCACTCTGTTGCCTGGGCTGAAGTTCAGTGGGGCATGATCACAGCTCACTGCAACCTCAAACTCCTGGGCTCAAGCAGTCCTCCTGCCTCAGTGTACTGAGTGTCTGGGACTACAGACATGCATCATCACTCCCAGCTAAATTTTTGTAGAAATGGGGTCTCACTCTTGCTCAAGCTGGTCTTGAACTCCTGGTCTCAAGTGATCCTCCAACCTTGGCCTTCCAGAGTGCTAGGAGTACAAGCGTGAGCCACTGCGCCCGGCCTTCTCTTTATAGACATTTATGGGCAAAATCAAAATGCCATGTACTCAAAGGTGATGCAGAGAAACCCAAAAGTCTTTCACAGCCAATGTCTCCTAAAAACACAGACATTCTAATCCTTTGCCACTCAAGTAGGCATGTGCCTGGGCTGCTGACTGGTTTTGAAGAAAATCATATAGGTGACAGACTTTAGGCAGAGGACTATTTAAAAGAAGGCAGGGAAAAGTCTACAGCTGAATGGAGACTGGGAAATAAAATTATGTGAAAGAGTTGGGTATTTGGCTTAATTTAAAATGGTATCATCAAAATTGACTAACAAATGTTTAGATGCATTGATAAATATATTAACACAAACTCTATGGTTAAGAGAAAACAATCTTATTTCATCATAAACCTACAGAATTGCCCTATAGGCCAAGGAATCTGTCAGTCTGTGGTGGAAAACTCATGGCCTTGTCTCACTTTGGACCCAGCAGGGATTCTCTTAACTTCTTCCCTAACTGTTCAGGAAAGCCAGGTCAAAGGCCAATGCCTAAAGGAGCTGGAGGTCATTTGCCAGATACTCAGAGATCTGGGAATTGGCACATAGCTAGATTTTCCAAAGAAGGATCTATATCCATCCCTAAACTGGTCACTGCAAAGGGAATAGGGCTGTCTATATAAGAAAAGTACAGGAGACAAGGGCATAAAAGTATAGGCATCCCATTTCCTTTGGGGGTGCTTGTTATATCCAACAAGAACAGCAACAGTAGACCTATAGACTTTGTGTAAATAGTCATGGGAATTCATTTTCAGAGTAAAATGGAGAGTGCTTGCTGGTTATCTTAAGCTCCTGGCAGCCAACATCAGCTCTGCAGCTCAGGTTGTAGGGGGGTAAGCTCCAGACAAAGACTGGCAAACCTTGATTCACTCATCTGAACCCAACTTGAGCAGCAAATGACCAAAGGACCAGCTCGAGGAGGTAACCAGGGGTGGGGTGGGATCTAGAAGGCTTGGACTGTGGGGAAGTATGGGGTAGAAAAGGAAGGCTGCCTGGTCTAGAAGTCATGGTGTGGGGCACTCTCTGCCCAGGGTTGGCATCAGAGATAGTCCAGGCTATCCTAGCAGAACTCAGCCTCCATGGGTAGGCCTTGGCAGGTAGGTGACACACCCAGTGGCTTGGGAAGACACCGAGAAAGCCTGGGGGAGGGATGAGCACGTTGGCACTAATTTCCTTCCCAGCCTAAACCGTAGTTGCATGGGCTAAGCAGGGCTGAGGCTGAGATGAGCCTAGGTAGTGGCACCCATCCATGGACTGTATGATCTCCTCCAGCACTTCTCTGCAGCCTAGTGGTGAGTGAGAAGTTGAGGGTGTGGGGTTACTTTCCATACATGGAAAACAGGCGTGGTTATAAAATATGTGTTCATAAGAGCAGCTGAGGATTTACCCTCTATTTTTAATCAGCAATACTTGAATTTCTCAGGGACCATTCACCATCCTTCCCTTATTCAGTAAACATTTCTGAGGATGAGGTGCCTACGATGGGCTGAATACTGTGTTGGGCTCTGAGGATACATTCTTAAACAAGAAAGATATAGTCTCTGCCCCAGAGTGGGGATGACAGTCTATACCATGAGATCTCCCAAAACACAGCACTGGTAAGTTATAAGTGCTATGAAGAAAACAAGAAGGATGTTGAGTTAGAGAACAATAGGGCTGGGGCACCTACTTGAGGTAGGGTGGCTAGAAAGAGTCTGAGAGGTAACATTTGGAATCGCAAGGATGAAAAAGAACTGATTCGCTTCTGTGACCTCAGCGCTTTGTACAAATGTCAGGTAGGTATCCATGAAATGACTGAATAAATTACTAAAGCCTTCCCTTTGGTGATGGCATAGAAACAAGGCCTTTCGATCAAATGAAAGAGCCAGGTATTCCCTACGTTCTCAGTAAAAGCTCCAGAGGCGGCTGCACAGAGCTTCAGTTAACACTGTATATCTGAGAAGCCTTTGGAGCTGAGCCCTCTGGGTAAGGGAGGCTGCCATGGCTATGATTCCATAACGGAGCTGTGCTTTATAGGCATGCGTGTGCACACATACATGTGCATCCACTCACTTGGACATGGTCACACACAAACATGCACGTTAGCATGCCTGCACACACAAGCATACCCACACTCACTCATAGGCACACAGGCCCATTTATAGGAGTGTGCCCAGGGCCCAGGACAACTGCATCCTGTCTCAGTCAAGCCAGTTACCTCTCTCTGCGTGGTCACTGTGGAGAGCTGCTGTCCGGGAGAGCTGGCTGTGCAGACGCTCAATTTCTGCATCTTTCAGGGCCACCTGCTCTTGCAGCTGGGCTACCTCAGCCTGAAAAAGCAACAGAGGATCCCTGTCAGGTCAGAAGGACTGCCAAACCATGATGAAGTGCCTCTACCAGAGTCCAGAGCCCACTGGGCCCCAGCACACGTCAGGAGTAGAGGGGAGCAGCAGGAGGGGCCAGCTGCCCTCCCCACAGGTTGGACCTCTCTAAATGAATTCACTCTTCTAGGCCGTTCTGGCCCCACCTACTCTCTGGCCATCAACCTAATCCTTCCCCTGCACCCTCCAACCTGACCAGGCTGTTTCTCTCCCCTGCTGTGTGGGGCCCAGATGCCACTGAGGCCCAAGGAGCTGGGATAGTGTACAACGGGGGGCTGTCCTCAGTGCACAGCTGAATATCCTTTCCAGACATGGTCTTCCTTCTCCCAAGATACTCACCCAACAGCATTTAGATACACCACTGTGACAGATGCATGTGGCTTTCATCTTTCCACCTCATACAGGAAATACAGTGGAAACCAAATCACTACTGGTAGACAAAGTGTGAGCCAAGTGCTCCCACCCTCAATGCTCTCCCACACTTTGGGCAGTCACTACCTCTGTCCACCCTCCAGGCTCATGTGCACACTCACCCACACAGACATGTGTACAAGCATGCGGCAGTGCTTTAGCAGATACACTTTTGCAAAAAAAAATAAAAAAGCACGTAAACAGCACAGAAGTGCAAACACATTCACATACGCACACAACACAGGCAACTGTCTTGGATGGTTCTCATGTCTCCACTAAGTATAGCAAGTTGAATTTCACACGCAACGCTACGTGTGGGTGTCCATGCTTTCCCATACTCATTAGAAGATCAGAATTGCATAGGTCCCATCCCAAGAGGTACCTTGGCTTTAGAGTCAAACTTGGATGCTCTCATTTCCTAGTTGGGTGACCTTGGGCAAGTAAGTTAACCTTTCTGAGTCTCAGCTCATCTATAAAATGGGAAAAATAGCACCTACTTCATGGGAGTGCAGTGAGGATTGAGTAAGATAATAGTTATAACAACTCAGCCCAATACTTAGTACATTTTAAGTACTCAATAAATGCTACTCCTATTGTTCTTCTCATCTTATTCCTTCCCTTCCGGGTAATCGGCTCAGTTCTCTGAGCATCAGCTAAATAAGAGAGTGGTTTAGAAATGACCCCTGAGCCAGCCAGTGGAACACACAGCAAAGGCTTCTACTCTGGCCACCCACCCCCCATGTGGGGGCCCAATCATGTCCCACATTTGGTCCTCGAGGTTATGATATGGGCTGGCCATTCCCACAGAGGCCCAAGTTAATTTCTAAACAACCCCAAGTAACAAAATGAGCACTGGTCCTCCTGGGGGCTCCTTTGCCAGACAGCCTTGTGTTCAGTTTCACTCCTGACTGAGCACCCACACTTGATGCTTTGTTACATCAAACCTCACTCAATCCTCACCAGAAATCACAGGAGGAAGCAATATCTCTGCAAGTCACTGGGGAGAAAACAGGAGGAGTACAGGATTCGTTGTCAAATCACAGAGCTGCTCAGTGACCGGGCCAGGATGCAAACCCTGACCTGCCAGCTCCAATGCCAGGGCTCCAACCCCACCCACGCCGGCCGGCCTGCTTCTGAGTTAACAGGACAGCTGAGGGCCCCTCTTAAGAGCCCTGGGCTCCCTTCCCCAACATCCCCAAATGGGACAGGGATAAACACGTAAAGGAAAAAGAGGCAACAAAAGGTAGGGTGTCCTTACTCCCAAATTCACCGTGAAGCACTGCCCCTCTGCTCTGGTCTCCACCCACAGAGGCCAGAGAGCCAGGCCCTGCTGTGCCAAACTGCTTGCTGAGAGGTGCAGCCACATGCAGCTTTTCAGAGCTCACTCAGGGCTGACGTGCCCATGGGCTTGATTCAGGTTTGCAGTGGCTTCTGCAAACCTTAGCCTTGGGAGTCTCAACCCAAAGGCCTCTCATTTCTACAAGGGCCAGACAATTCTTGGAAGAAATTCTCTTAACTTTTCTTGCATGTTTCCATGGCCATTTCTCCCTTTCTTTGCAGACAGGATGGGTGCTGGTCTCTATTAGAAATCTGGATCCTGACACTTGTTTGCTGGCCCCACAGTTAGAACTTAGCAACGTGGGCCTATCAGACAGAGCCCAGCACCTGGCACTATGAGGTCTCTTCTCTGTGAGGCCTGCCTCTGGGGGAGGTCATCTAGGCATCTACATCTGGTGCCTAGCCCCTTCCTGGCCCAACTTCAGCTAGGCGCTACAGGGTGCAGCAAGAGGAAGCAGATTCGGTTATTGCACTTTAGTGGCTCATAGTATTGCAGGCTTTCCCCCTGAGGAGTCTTCCTGAATCACATCTGAATCACTGGTCCATGCCCACACAGTAGGGTTGATCTGCATTTTCAGACATAAGCTACTGGAAAGGCTGAGTTTGAACACAGACTCTCCCCACAGGCCTCCATGCTCTCTCCATCAGCATCAGAACCGCCTCTTACCTTAGTGGCCTTCAGCTTCCACTCATACTGATTCCGTTCATTTTCCAACTCTTCCACTTTGATTTTGAGGTGCCTGAGCTCTTGCAGTAACTCCTGGAGGGATGAAGGACAAAGACAAAGTTATGATGGTTAAAGAATGTGCCTGGATCTACAAACCAGGTTAATCTCATGCACAGAGGATGCAGAACTGCATCAAGCTCCATGCGGCAGCTATAATCTTTAAACATGGCCCTGTTTCACAAAAGCCGTGTAGCTATTTAAAAATAAAGGCCAGGTAGGCCGGGCGCGGTGGCTCACACCTGTAATCATAGCACTCTGGGAGGCCGAGGCGGACGGATTGTTTGAGCTCAGGAGTTCAAAACCAGCCTGAGCAAGAGCAAGACCCCATCTCTACTAAAAATACAAAGAAATTAATCGGACAACTAAAAATATATAGAAAAAATTAGCCAGGCATGGTGGTGCATGCCTGTAGCCCCAGCTACTCGGGAGGCTGAGGCAGAAGGATTGCTTGAGCCCAGGAAGAGTTTGAGGTTGCTGTGAGCTAGGCTGACGCCACGGCACTCTAGCCTGGGCAACAGAGTGAGACTCTGTCTCAAAATAAATAAATAAATAAATAAAGGCCAGGGAGTTAGTGGCATAGAAAGTGAAAACTTTAGCTGGGCATGGTGGTGTGCACCTGTAGTCCCAGCTACTCGGGAGGCTGAGGCAGAAGGATTGCTTGAGCCCAGGAAGAGTTTGAGGTTGGTGTGAGAGCTATGATGACGCCACTGTACTCCAGCCCAGGCAACAGAGTGATACTGTTTCAGGAAAATAAAAAAAAGTGAAAACTTTCCTCTTATTTTTAGAACCTTTTCTGCCTGCCCCTTTCTCTGACATCTGTGTCCTCTATGGGGTGCCAACATCATGCACACATGTGTAGGGGGGGCAGCCAGGTAGGGCTTTGGAGTGGCAGGAAGAGTGATGCTGAAATGAGGCAGCTTCTACCCTTCTGATGCAAAGTAGCAGTACGTAGGCAGACTGGGAGCATCTCTTTGTGCTAGGGGTGGAGGAACCCAGAGGAGGTGGTCGGTGGTCCTGGAAGGCTTCACAGAGGAAGTGACAGGCAGCAGGATAGAAACGAAACACTACATGCCAAATGCAGATGCCAGTATGGGTGTTCCAGTTCAGAGGAGGAGGTTGGTTTGAAGAAAGAAGGGAGGAAGTAGGGATAAGAGAGGGAAAGGCAGATAACCCACTGGGCTGGAGCAGAGGATGGGTATGGGCAGAGAGTGGGAGATGAGGCTGGGAAGTTAAGGAGGGGCCCTATCGTAAAGGGGTGAGAGTGTAAGGAGTTCTGATGCCATTCTCTGGACAGCAGGGAGCCATGGAAGGTGCCAAGTGGGAAGTGGAGACCCAGCTAAGCACTGTTGTCTTAACCAAGTTTCCCTTAGACAATTGGTCCTGCTGATTAGTTCCTATAAGAACCGGCATAAAGGAAGTTATTTCCATAGGCTTTCTGAACTCTAAACTCACACAACAAATGTCCCCCTAACATCTCCCTGTGGAGGTCACAAGGGCATCTCAGGACTGTCATGCCCCAAGGGGAACCCTTAACTCCTCTCTAAGTCACCCCCATCTCACCAAATGGCACATCCACCCATCTAATCACCGGAGTCAGAAACCTAGGATCCCTCCTTGGCATTTCCCCCTCTCTTTCCCTCCAGGCCTTATTAATTCCACTTCCAGGAAAACAACCTGAATGTCTCATTTCTCTCCAACTCGACCACCACTGCTCTGGCCTGGCAGTTGGTGTCGGCAGCCTGGACATTCTGTTTGTTGGATGCCCCTCTGTTGTCTTGCCCCTCTCAAATTCATTGACCTCCACGCATTCAAGGGAACAATAAGATTAAAATACAAATCTGACCATGGAGCTCCCCTGCTCCTCAAAGCTGTAAACTTTAAGACGTGACCAACAGCCAGGCCTCGCTGAGCTCCCTGCCTGTCTCTTGGGTCACTCTTTGTCCCCAGTTATGTGCCAGTCACAGTGGACAGTGTTCAGTTCCTCTTCTCAACTTAGGCCTTCACAGACACCATTTCCTCTGGAACTGTCTGCCAGGTTAACGCCCGCCGGTCCTTCAGGCCTCCCTGACCAAAGCTATCCTGACCTCCACACTGTGCCAAGAATGCTATGCTCTGCTATACTCTCCTTGTACTCTGTGAGCCTCCTACAAAATTTGTAATCAAATGTTCATTTTTATAATTGCTAATGGCTAGTTCACCTGCTATACCATAAACTCCATGAGGCATTTGCCAACCTCTGATTATCTATTAATAGCAGCGCACACAGTAAGTATGTGCTATTTGTCAATGAATAAACACACGAAGCTCAAATCATCATTTCACTGGCCTGGAGGTCTTGGCATTCTGAGACAATCCACCATAAGTGACATTGCTTACACTTGAATTTTGAAGGGTAATTTATTAAGACTGTCTCATAGCTGAGGTGAGCATCTATCGATGCCCGTTTTAAAAAGTATCTTCCAAGCTAAGGTTATTGCATCTGTAATCTGCATCACTGAACTCCAAGGACTTAGTCACCTGCTTTGACTTGCAGCAGGTCCAGAATCATTTCCTGAGAGCATTATCGGCCCTGCCTGAGGAGCTCCAACACCCAGAAGTCAGGGGTTCTTCTGCTCAGGCTTATGTCCTAGCCAGGCTACTCAGTTTGTCCTGAGAGGACACCAGGCCTGCTGATATCAGAATCAGAAGCATGCAGGCTACTACTGCCTGAGGGGCGGCCACTATGGGGACACAAAGGCCACGCTCTCTGGGCTCTTGTGACCTCTTTGGCACATCCTCCTCCTCCTGTGCTATTTGTTGCATGTCGTTAGCTACAAACACTGGTACATATTTTATCTTCCTTTAGAAGTCTTGCTGGAGTTACCCACTCAACATGGGACATGCCTAATACCCTCCCAGCACCTATCCAAGTCTACACTTCACATCTTGACTTTTATTTTTTTCCCGGCCTTCAAAGTAGTAGGAAATCTTCTCCACCTAACCTCTCCCCCAATGCCTAAGTCTGCGTAGAGATTTTCGACAGATTCCATGATTGAGCATGGATCATGGTAACTTCCAGCCACGTCACGCTCTGTAGTGCTCATGGCTATTCTCATGTCAGCCTTTTTTGAGGGGTGGGAGGGCCTCCAAGTCCTCTTCAACAACAGGCTCACCTCTGGTGCAGCTGCCATCACTGGGCACCAGCAAGGTTATGAAGACCACGTCACCCCCTGTGAGGGGCCAAGTCCAGAATCCTAGTCAGATACACTCCACATGGCCCAGAGGTTCTGAAATCACCCTGATGTGATTATGTGGGCGAAATATTCCTAGAAATTGAGATGATGACTTAATTGTTCGCAGCAAATGGAAACTGGTGATTTATTTTCTCACTGGGGGCAAACATCTTTAAATATAAACTTGAAAGGATTCTTTTTCATAATGCTATTTTTTTTCTTAAAAAAAAAAAAGTGAGAATCTCATGAAATGATTCACATTTCCAGCCTGGGGGGGAGGGGGGTGGGGAATCAGGATCTGAATCACATATCTGGGGAGGAGAATCCTGACGCTTCCTTTTGCACAAATGCCCCATCACTCAGAGCATCTGGCACACCTGCTTTCCCAGCCCTAAGGGAGATGAGTGCCACCTATCCGAGGGTTGGCCTCACCTGCTCAGACCCTGCTCAGTGAGGGTCACAGAGCTTACATCCCAAGAGGAGTGAGTGAGTCCCAGCTCTGCCCAGAGGTAACAACAGATCCATGCTAAGCCACTGCACTCTGTTCTGGTTAAGAGAAACCCCAGCCCCTCCACCAATGAAATGCCCCACACACGCATGCTCTGATATACTTAAGTGTGATTCCTACAGGTGACCCCTCCCAACAGGCACAGTCCTGGCTGCAGGGCTGGGGCTCGGCCACACCTTCGCTGGCCGCCATCTCCTCGGGATGGTCCCTACTGAGTAACAGGTGCTCTTGAATCTGCCTGTGGATGTCCAGCTGTAGCCTACACATCTGCTCCTGCAGCTCACTGATCACATTCAGAACCGACTGTAGGAAGGAAAAGAGAGGAGAGAAAAGCACTCAAGGTCAGAGAGCGAACTCCTTGAGAGAGTAGCACAGAAGGAAGGAAGTGTGCAGAGGGTGAGTAGCAGGTGGCACCCAGCGGTCACTGTCAATGGCCATCCACCTTCTTCACAGGAACCATAAGACATGGCATTTCTCCTAAGTCCTGCCCCATCTGGGGGCCTGTCTTGCAGTTCGAACAACCCCCCGACAGCTCCTTTGTGCCATACCAGATGACCATCCTTGCATGTCAACATCTGAGGCACGGAGTCTAGAAGAAACCCTTCATCCAAGAAGCAATGGCAGAGATGAGTGCACGGCAGGGACACACTCTCGGAAATAGCCCCTCTACCCACATGTCCATGCTATACATGCCAACTGCCATGCCCAAACACCCAACATGTCAACACCTGTACACAGGTGACACAGCATGCACCACACTCATACATGGTATGTCCATGGTATGTCCCCAGCCCTGGATGCATTCAGGTGCCAATATGCCTATATTTCTCCATCCTGTCTGCAAGACTATCCCAAACAATGTTTTTGTAACACTTCATTGGTGTGGATTCGCCTGGGACACATTCCTGGCCAAACCAATGAGGTCAATCTGATGTGACTCACTCTTAGACGACATGGATCCCTACTTTGTCTTCTAGCTTCTCACAAACCATCACAGGGCTGACCCCAAACCCAGTAGACTATTGTAGCTATCAGAGGCATCAGTGGAATCAAATCCATTCTTTGATCTTATCAGGAACATAGCTAAAAAATAAAGAGGCTTTGTATTGTCCTCAGCATTGTCCTTTAGCTTGGGGTTTGCTCTTCCTACTGGTCATGCAGTTGCACTTTTATTCATCCTTAGTGTATGTCCTTTCTATCCTTTGTATAAGCCCCTTTGAAAACCAGTTCCTCTCAAGGTACCTCTAAGCTCTTCCTTTTTACTGGTATTATTTGTGAGGCTGCACAGTCAGAATGATATTATTTTTAAGCAG